CTTTGTGGGGAAAACATGTATTCTATGTATGAAATATGTGTTATATGCAATGTATGGATTTGGGGTTGTTACACCTTTCTTGTGATATCCCTTGGTTCCTGCTATATCTTATTAGATGAAATTTTTAGAAAGTAGTGAGGAAAACTGTTGTAATGTTGATCCATGATTTCTCCTTGATTGTTTTTATGATTATCTAAAGTGCTACTATAAACTATGGACAAGGGGTTATGTGTTAGGGCCTGACAGAATACCGAGGAAATCAATTGGCCTATCAGGGAAATGGATTGAATAAAGAGATCATTTTGAAAACACCGACAGGGTCAAGGAAGGCCTTAAAAGAGCATGTTCTACAAGTGTTGATAGTGTTGAAGATATCCCAAGAATAGAAGTTATGAAAAGATCAAATGCTACGATGGCCAAGTACTCAAGACACACCTTCATCCTAACAAACAAAGGCCAGCCACCGTCTCTAGCTACGAACTGCTGTTCTTGCTAACTTTCAACACTTGTGGAAGACTTGAGAGTTGTTAGGTAGATCATTGGTTCGGCAAAAATTACCCTTGTAGAATCAGAGGTTTTGCTGGGACAAATGTCAATCTACCTCCATGTTTCATAACCTCCATGTCAATGCAAGAGGAGTTTTTGGGACAAAGAAAGGAATGTGCAATAGTGATGATCACAACGGGTTAGACTGCCTACAAGTAACCAAGTATGCTACGGGCTTTAAAACAGAATTCCATGAGCCTCAACATAGCTAGCCAACCAGAGCAAAGATCCCCTTTATCCTTTTATCAAACTTCTATTTTACATGGACATTAGTTTTCAACACACTATATCTAGGTTATTAGAACTACAATCCAGTACTTAAAGTACGGTGACACCGTCTCGGTGATTCATATTCCGCCGAGTCTCCTTCCAAAGGGTTTTTTCAGGGATGGAGCTCACAGACTCTCATTTCTCTTACACTGTTGAACCAATTTTATTTAGCATGTGATGAACTTTTAAGATACACTCTGGTCTGAACACATAATTATACAACTAGAGGTTGTTTACTGCAGAAATTTTATAAATGAACCCATGAAAAACATGAACAAGAAAAGTATATTCTGAGGTTTGATTCAAACCAAAACATAACAAATAACCGCCTGAGTTTTCTTAGTTATTTAGACCAATACTTGAGCTATCTCCTCCACCCTTGGTTTCCTTCTTTCTTGGCCGTTGCTATCCACAAAGTGTGTGCTTTTTTTAGGTTGAGGTTTCTGGTGTGAGGGGTTTGTAAATAAAATGAAGGAGAAAGCAAGAGGGTTTCCTTATATAGCGACAACCCTACTTATGGTGCATTAAATGTTAAATCTTGAGGTGTGATGTTTTGAGCTGAATACTCTCCATAATCTGCCACATACCAACACACTAAGCTAGGATTTAAGGCTACTCTTTTTTATCTTTTAATCACCTTAATATTATATATATATATATATATATATGTGTGTATGTATGCATATATGATGCAACATAATCTTCTAGGCAGAAACTAAAGATGCTCAGGACTGACAAACCAATGGATGAGCGTCACGTCAATAACTTGGAGAATTGGATTAAAGTACAACTAAATTGTGAGTTTGAAAATTAAGCAGAGAATAAAAGACAAGAAAATTAATTTTTAGAAAATTTCATGTTAGTGTTTCAATATAAACCTCGTATGAACAAAATGAGTGTGCTAATGGAAGATAACAATTAACACCTTACTATTGTCTCATTTCTTCTCATATTTTCCACACACTACAAGAAATTAGTTTAACATTATAAAAGAAGTAGTGGAAATTAAAAACATTGGCCAATCCAGGAAGCAATGCTGCCGCATCATCGACCCTCCATTTCGTCTTCTGAACAGCAAAGTTGAAATATGAAACAAAATAAGAAGACGAAGACGGGAATGGAAATGTGATAAAATTAACAGCTACAGAAGTAAATTGCAATGCTGAAATATATATGCTTGGAAGTAAAGTAAAAACTACTGCCAAAACTGCTTTTTTAACTTCAAAAGAAAAACTTCAGAAGAGAACTAAGATTCTGCTCAAAACTATCAAAACAGGTTGTCCAAAAATGTGCTCAGCAGATGTTGGCTTTGTTCAGCGAGAAATGGTACAAGTTTTTAGTCACCATTTAGTGCTTCAAGTCTTTTGACTTAAGGAACTTTAATTACTTGTCCCTTTTCTCTCAATATTGCACTTCTTGTTAGCTTTAAATCTTTGCATCGAACTTTACAAAATTCTCCAAAAATATCACTAAAAAGTTGACTTCCCGTTTTGACCATTGCTGCTTCTGTATAATATAGTCCGGATAATGCTGTAGCATCAGGTATGTTCAACAATACATATATTTTGGGATTATTATCACCTCAAAACACCACTTTAAACTTACATCTCCAGAAAACAAGAAAGATTAAAATGACTCAAACATTCATAAAGAATGAAGAATACATGAAAAACAGACACGATATGATGCTTCCGCATCAATCAAGTTCAAGGTTATCAGATGGCAAGGGCCTTGAGAGCCTACAGACAGGAATGTGCGAGAGCTGAATTGTTTTTGGTCCTTGGAGCAAGGGTGATTAACCCACAGAACCTCATTTCAATCTGAATCGAGGTATAATCCGTAGTAGGTAGGTTTGATACAAGAGAACGCAAGGACATGCAAAGAAGGCTAGCCCCACCTAAAAATATGATGAGGAACTTTGCTGGCCAATGGTGCTCATTTGGATTAGGACTAGTAGGTGAGAGGAAAAGGCAGATAGATAATAAGGGTTTAGTTTCCTGAAATGAGGTGGGAGATAGGTTAGGCTAATGGATCCTTTTTGTAGGGAAATAAACCCTTAATCATCAAATCAAAAGATAATGGCCCTGCTAATGTGGTGAGATTGATGTCAAAACCATGGCCGGAGGGCCCGGCCTATAGTGAGTTTTTGCAGAAGGAAAGCTTCTTGGAGAAACAGTATACTTGAGGCCAAGCTCAGACATAGCATGACGACAAAATGCAAGTCTAGTTGATCTTAGTCAGTTTGTGAAGGCAAATGCATGTGACAGATCTATGTGAAGAGTGTTTGTACTAAAATGTACTGGCATTTAGATGTGTATGGCACATACACTTTGTTTATTTAGTCAGAAAAGATTAGAGATATCATCTTTGTAAGTGGCCATGTAAACTTGTACTTACAGGAACTCTATTTCATAATAATGAACACACTGGATGTCCGAAGTGAACAATTATTTGGGAACATGTTGAAACAATCTTCCAACGGAGAGCTTATGTCTATATTTTTACTTGTCTTGGGTTCCATCATTAACTTCTTTTATGTATTTAAATGAAGTTTTACATGCAAAAGTTGGCTTACAACAAGACATTCAATTGGTTGGTTTGTCAAAAAGATAAAGTGACATACACAAAGCTCAATACTGTTACTGATATGCTATTTCTGGATGATAGGTATATAAGCCAAGTCTCTCTAGGTTTGCAGATGCTGGTGGCCTGATTGGAAACTCCCCTGTTGAAGTATCGAAAGGTAAGAGAAGACATTTGGTGGTAAATTTAAGTTAGAGAAACAACACAGATATTTAAGGTTTTGTTTCATTTGCTTTTGGAACATTCTTCATAACTAAGACTATTCTTGCATCTTGAAGCAAGAATGACAATGACATTGTAACTACTTGATAAAAGAATCATGCATTCACAATGCCATAATTTCCTCTTGTTTATGCTATACTGAAGCTAGTAGAAAATAAAATAGTAGGATACAAATATTAGAACCTGATGGATTGACATGTGAACTCAAAAAGCACACAATTCATAGGAATTCAAACATCGTTTCCCAAAAGAAAAGAATGGAAACATCATATAGAGTTTACAACCGAATGATGTCAGAGTGTTGGACCTAAAGATTTTATGCACAACAAATGAAGATTTAGTGAGCCTCCAAATTTCACCTGATCCCTGAAATTTCATAAAAAAATCTCATCACAACCACCACCAACATGCCCGCATTGCGAATTAGTTGAAACCTAGTATATCATTTTGAATATATAATTCTTTTTAGCAGTCCATGCATATCACCTTGTGCTGGTTAGGATGAGTGATTTTTTTGTGTGTAAGCTTGTGCCAAGAAGTTTGCTAGATATAGGGTTGTGATTCCTCTCATGATACTCTGTTAAATTTAGAGCTAAGACAAGTTGGACTGTGTTGCTGAGATCTTTTATTTGAGAATATGTTCTCTTTTTAGTGCGAGAACCAATGAAAGCTATGAAAGTTTTTATTCCCAAAAGTTGAAATCATGCCTTTTTCTCATCAGTTACTTTCCTTCTGCTACTATAGTACTATGCTATAACTCCAGAGATAGTGCAAGTGTTACCTCGACTTGATTGAAATTCTTTGTCTGCGTTCTACCAAGTGCTAGATGCAGAGGCACATAAAAGATTGATGAGTATTATGAGCTATCACGTATAAGTTCCTTTATATTACTTGGGAAGAAGGCCTTACCTCAGTCCTTGCAGGCAAAAGATCCGCATGTGGACTTGGGTTAGGAAAGAAGGCTATGGGTAAATCTAGCAGCATGAGGAGATCAGAGTGAAAAATCTCTATGGTCTCTCTCTAGGTCCTGGGTTCATGCCTTGAGAGTTACTTCCCATTTCCCACTAAACAAACAAAATCAGTTTAAAAAACTGAGTGTGTTCATACAGTCTTAATAACACCTGTTTCACATAATGTAAGTACAAGGGGCCCACTCCTATTAGAAGATCTAGGCAGTCTGTCAGATTGAATATTGGTGGAACTTTTGCTACATGATGTTGTAAAATAATATGAAACAAATGCCTAGATGTTCATACTTTCTTCTATTTGTACAAGTCCAGAACTGGGAAAATACTATATGTTACTTACCAGTCTTTGATATCTTCTCATGGAAATTGTATAGACCCAAACAACCACACACTCAATTTTAGATTTAAGCTACTCTTCATATACTAAATGAAGGGTTTCTCAGTTTGTGCAAGTATGTCTTTGAAGTCACCAAATTTGTTTACTTAATTGTTACTTCTAGACACTTCACTGTCATAGAATTTTTGTTTTCTTGTAATTGGTGCAGTGAACTATTTGTAAGTATATGGGAAGAAACTTGCTCCTCCATGGCTTTAAATCGTCATGTTGAAATGTAAGAGCCTGAAGTTGTCAACTGTTGTTTTTTTTTTTTTTGCTTTCAGATGTAGAGGTTCTCATTCTCATGGTCACAAATGAAGTTCAAGCAGAAAGTGTTCTATATGGTGTTGACGGGGCCGTGCCAGGTACATCTAAATACACGGTACAATTTTGTGATCTGAACTGACCTTGTTTCTCCATTTTCTGTAGTTCTTCAACCTGGAGCATCCATTGTCCTTTCATCCACAGTTTCTCCTGCTTTTGTTAGTCGGCTTGAGCTGCGCTTAGAAAGTAGGTTCTTACATTTGGTGTTTGTTTATCTTTTTCACTAATCAAGGGTAGGTATAATCCTGTGGAAGATGATAGAATTCTCTATCTTGTAAAATCCTTGATAACATCTGCTATTTGCATGCTTGCATAGCTTTGATATGGCTTAGGTTCTTTTTCTTTTCTTTCAAAAATCACGTCATGGCTTAGCTTCTTTTTTGTATATATAATGATCTTTCTGCTACAAACTGTAGACGAGCATAAGGGTTTTAAATTGGTTGACGCTCCTGTATCTGGTGGTGTCAAAAGGGCTTCTGAAGGAACACTTACGGTATGTAAGTTGGTTCTTTTTCACGAATATATCTCACCTTTAAAAAATATATCATCATCATTAACTAGTTTGTACTTCTATGCCTTTTGGTTAAGAATTGCTAAGTTGTACATGCATTGTCCAGATTATGGCGTCAGGTGCAGATGAAGCTCTAGAGCATGCTGGTTCAGTTCTTTCAGGTAATGAGCATTTTTTTATGACACTGGATGAATTATGTTAAACCTTTATTTCTCAATCTTATTATAATAACTATTATGACTTATCAAAAAAAATTGTGTGCCTTTTCATTTTAATAGCATTAAGCGAGAAGCTATATGTGATTAAAGGGGGTTGTGGAGCTGGAAGGTACTTCTTGAATGACTTTTCACTTCCCCTGCATCAGATTATCTGTAGTTTTGTTATGACATCTTATACATATACATCCATGGTACAGAAGATGCAAATATGTACATATAGCATGCTTGTTCATTTCATGCCACATGTCGTTGTTGCAATCACCATATTACAAGGGAATGTTATCAACTTATTCTTCCATTCTGTAGTGGTGTAAAGATGGTCAATCAACTGCTAGCTGGAGTTCATATAGCATCAGCAGCTGAAGCAATGGCCTTTGGAGCTCGATTGGGTTTAGATACAAGAATCTTGTTTGATGTCATAAAAGATAGTGAAGGAACATCTTGGTATGGCCATTTATCTTGCTTTAGTTATTGTTATCTGTTAAACGGTTCATTCATCTTAAAACTTAAGCTAATAAATGGTGGGCCCTACCATTATTATCCATGTCTAGCTTCATCTCTCCCTCATGTGCTACCTGCCTAGCACATGGTATTACTTAGGCGAATCGCTATCCACCAACCAAACACAATGCGAATTACACTAATAACATAGACGGGGAAGTGGAACTAGGAAGACTTGAAGCTTTGAATTGGCCAAATATGAAATTTGATACAATGTTAATTCACAAACACTAATATCTAGCCTCGACACTATGCCTTCAGGTATTAATAATGGCAGGCTACATGTATTTTTCGGTCTTCCTACCTAAATGATCTCCCTTTCAATAAGGTCAACCAATTTATACAAGTAAACTTGAACCCATAGGTTTTTCATATTTGTAAATCCTGATCACTAAATTGTTTTCCGAGTCTTTCTTCATATGAGAAAATAGATATGAAGGTGCTATCATGATAAGTGTAGGGGCAATGCCAAATTGAGTCAGGAACCCAACTTTCTTTTTCACTTTGCTGACTGTGCTTCAGCGTTCAGCGTTTTCACTATTTGTTGGTGATCAACTTTTCTGGTCCACATAAGACATGTTTGATAGCACAAACTTTTCCATCAGTAAAAGGTCACTGGAATTAGTTATCCATCATCTTGATCAGCAAGAGAGTATATGTAGGTGACACGTGGGCTGTTGAGCCAAAACATAATAGGAAACTGATAAGGTATCCTATATATTTAATGCTCCTCCTCAAGTTGAGAATGTGTGTTTAACAATCCCATTTAACTAAAATAGGATCAATGTAAGACTTACAGAAGCGGTTTACTCAGATTTTAACCCGATCTTTTAACCAGCTCAATAAAAGGTGGCTCTTGATACTAACCACCTTCCCACAAACAAAATGACACGTCAGTCTGTTTGTACATCGTGAAATAAATGCTTCTTGAAGATGTGAAACGTCATAATCACAATAGGTTTTCATCCAAGCGTAAGAGGAGACACCCGCTCATGGTAGAGAAAATTGGTTTCGAAAACATGAGTAAATGGCTTACATAAATGATTTTGTTGGATGCTAGGTTGTTTACACCCTAAAACCTTTATTAAATCAAATGATGGTTTAAGCAAGAGAAGTTACGCTACAAAGTTCTTTTCACACCGAATTCATTTGTGTTTTCATATGACTATAAAGCCACACATCCATCCCTAGTTTACCCCGTTTGTCATGTTGAATTACGGTAAGTTCCTATTCACTTCCACTTTGAGCCTTGTGTTAATTCTTGCGTCGCTTGACCAGCTGAGTGGAAGTTATTTACAATTACTCTCTTTACAAATATTTGAATATGAATTGTTGTTGTCTAGCATCCTTCATGATAATATCGAGCTAAATATTGTTTGAGTATGATAAATATTTATCCTAATCAAAGATAAATAGGACCAACTGAGCCTATTCAAGCAGGCATAGAAACTATGCAAGCTTATCATAGCGGTTGTGATTATCGATTTCCAGTTTATGGTCAGTAGTATTGGATCCATAGTTACGACAATTGTCTGGTTGACTCACTACACTTTTTGAAGATTCATATCATAGTGTGAGCTTTTAAAGGGTACAAACAGTAAAAAAGATGTTTGAGCTTGATGTAGACAGTTAAAATATTTTGTGCTTATATCATTGTCAATCAAAATTGAAAATAACATGAGAATTGTGTAAGTTACATGTGGGAAACATAGAATAGAAATAGTCCTATATGTTTGACAATGTGAGGTGTGTGTGTATGTTTTCCCTTCAACATTCTAACTAGTATCAAATGTGATTGGATGAATGAGGAAGTCTCGGGATAGATAAAATTATATGTTTCAAATTCATCTATACTATCTTATAAATCATTTTGGTAATACTTTTAAATTTCAAGAGTATATCTATGAAGCATAAGTACAAATCACTAATGCATAGGTAGGGGTGTGGAATAGAGAATCATAAAGTTTGAGGGTTAGCTTGCCCATCATTAAAACTAAGATAAATTACATTCTTATTTTTCTAAATCTAAAATATTTATACTATAATAAGAATTTGAAATAAACAAATTATACCACAAAAAATAAAAGTTTTATAACATTTATTTTGACATGCATCCCTATCGATGTATTTCTTTTTGGATTTTTTTATCGGGTCTTCAAATTAGCAAGCCATGTTCAACCACCACTTGTAATTTCTACTTTGTTCAAAGATAAATTTCGGATTTTCTTCTCTTTGGTAAGGAAGGAGTTGCATTAATTTTCCATTCTCGGCTCACAATAAAATTTTACATCCCATTGCATTGTGCGGGTACACAACTAGTTGAGCCATAGACCAAATGCTTCCAAAGTAAAGCAAAGGTGTTGAATGTTAGTACAACTATCCTATTTAACTATAGAAGTGTGTACTATTTTCACGAAGTTATCATGCAAAGATGATTGAAAAGAAGACAACTATAGTACATTAAGACTGTGGGCCTTTATATGACACTATTTTTGTACCCGTGTGATTTTATTGTAAACCAATATTGAAAATTAATGTAACTCCTCGTTAAACAGGAAAATTCTAATTTATGTTTGAACAAAATAGAAATCATAACCGTGGTTGAACATTACTTGTTGATTTGATGATCCGGTCAAAAAAATATATCGATATGAGTGTCAAATTAAAGAATATAAAATTCTTGTTCTTTTGGTATAATTTGTTTAGTTCAAATTTTATTATAGTTTAAATGTTATAGAATTAAAAAATAAAGATATAATGTATATTAGTTTTGATGATAAAGTTTGTTTTTGGATAAACTAATGATGGATTATTATGTCATTTTAGAAGGCTTAATGATTATCTGTAGCTGAACGTGTTTATTGGTTAGTTTTATGGAGCTCAAAGAGCTTTAAGAACATGTATGCATGATGTAAATACATGTACCCTTGAATTTAATGGGATAAACATTAATTAGCGGTACTGATTGCTTAAAGTGTTACTTTTAGGACTTTGAGGAAAATGCTTTATAATATAGTATAGATGTACACGTGTGTAAAAAATGGATAAGCCTTTCGGCATAGATGATCCCACATCCACTCAATAGGATTAACTTCTCATTTTATGTGTACAGTTTGTGAAAGTTTTCGATTTCCATTGTTGCAGGATGTTTGAGAATCGTGCTCCGCACATGGTGGACAATGATTATACACCCTTATCTGCACTTGATATCTTCGTGAAGGATCTGGTTTGACTAATATCCATCTAAGCGATTCTTAGAGTGGCCATATGATAATATTTTTTTGTCACTACTTATAATGTATTTACCTCCACTTTTTACAGGGTATTGTGTCTCGGGAATGTGCATCACGTAGAGTTCCACTTCACATATCTACTGTTGCACTCCAGTTGTTCTTATCAGGTGATTGGATGAGCATCGGTCTTTTATGATCCTTTTGATGTCCACTAAATAACTGTTGTGTGCTAATTTTTTTCTTTTGTGAAGTATATAATATTTATATACGGCAAATGCAACAAATAAACTAACACACCCTCCTCACCTATGGTGAGGTTTGAACCCCTGACCTCCTAGGAGGCCAAAGGCTACGATACCGCTAGGCCAGAGGCCCTTTTATAAAACAAGACATGACCTTTAGATTTACCCCCATTAGTCTCACAAGTACCTTAATTGTATATTTGAATAAAATGATGCATGATGTTAGATTATGTATGCCCTAATAATTTCAAGAAGTGCCATAATTGTATATTTGAATAAATCCCTATGAAAAAGTACAGAAGTTTTTACTATTAATATTGCTGGAAATTGTTATTCCATTGCGAGAAAAAAGTGATACTAACAGTTATATTGAACATGCATTCACAGACCTTAAAGTCTTTTGGCTCATCATGCATGAGCCTCAGTAAAGTTAAATCGAGTTGCCGAGTTGTAGATTCCTTATGATACATTCAACACTGCTAGGGCCCAGGAGAATTGGGCTGCAGGAAGATCTCGGAATCACCATTTTATCTACTTGTATATATGTATAATAATTATTATCCCACAAGACAAAAGTATATCATCCGATTGTTGTAACACGAGCAAAAGAGTGATAGGTAGAAAAGTATATATAGTCAAACTGTTGCACTACATAGAAAGGTAAAAGTAAGCTCAGAATTTTGAAATACGTAGAAAAAAATGATAAAGGAAAAAAGTTAAAAGGAAGAAAGAGATGTTTTAATATTGTAGGTCCTTTCCAGGTCCCCAACTCCATGTCTGCCAACTTTAGGCTTGACTTTAGGTTTGGTGAAAGGAAAAATGTATCTGTGCCTATTTCCTTCGTTCGTTATCTCTATTTATTAGTCTATATAAATATTAGTTCTATAGTTTATGTGACATAATTGATTGGAGATGTTATACATTGTTAATAAAACTCAGATGTTTATATAATTCAGTCTTCCATTACTAGGTTCTGCTTCTGGGTGGGGACGCTTGGATGATTCAGCTGTTGTTAAGGTAAGCTACTTGAGGCATTTGCTTGGAAGCTAGGGGCAGATGCCCAGTTGCCAAGTATAGAACGCATGGGATCTGATCAACATATATAAGTCATATGGTTCATTTCCTTGCATGACCTTGGGATAATCATGCATCTCCACATCATCCCAGTACTTATATATACAACTGATTTTCATGATATACGAGCTTGGGTAGAACTCAATCTTAAAAGCTAGTTCAAAGGAGGAGGGTGCCCAAACCACATATATGCATATACCAAGTTTGATAACCTGGCGATGCGGGACAAATACTAGTTCAATACCCTCCCTCATTCATAGCTGCAGGCCAGGGTCCAAACAAACAAATGTAATTCCTGCATCGCCTGCAAAATCTCACTCTCATACCATGAGTCCATGATTAATGAGCTTGGGTAGAACTCACTCTAAAAGCTAGCTCAAAGGAGGAGGGTGCCCAAACCACATATATACTTATACCAATCTTGACTACTTCGCGATGTGGGACAAATACTACTTCAACAATATATGGCATGACAAAGACGATCAATTATGCTTGAAAGTTATTTCAATGCAAGCGCGTAACTGATCCTGTTTCGTTGAACATATATCTTTTCATTCTTTTGATCAGGTTTATGAGACACTAACAGGCGTCAAGGTTGAAGGAAAAATTCCTGTCATTAATAAAACAACTGCCTTGAAATCTCTTCCATCAGAATGGGCACTGGATCCACTGGATGACATACGCAGACAGGATAATAACTTGAAGACTTTGGTTGTTCTGGATGATGATCCAACTGGGACACAAACTGTCCATGATGTTGATGTATTGACAGAATGGTGAGTTTGATCTGTCATTTCATTCTAATGTAATAACCTACTCAGATTTATTGAGGCATCATTGTTCCAGGACAAAGAATTACTATGCCTTGAATCTAGATTGATACTGCATTCATTCCATTATAAATACATAATATTTGTTTGACATCCATAGCCATTGGTAATTTTGATGAAAATTATTTGATGGCAACGCAAAAACAAGTACAACTTAAACATTGTAATAAGCATCGCTGCTGATTATATCGTTCTTTTCTTAAGGAATGTGGAGTCACTTGTTGAACAGTTGAGAAGTAGACCTAAATGCTTTTTTATTTTGACAAACTCCCGTGCCTTGAGCTCTGATAAGGTAAAGCACACCAATCAAAGAATTGACATTTTTTTAGCTTTGAATATCCAATCAGTTTGCATTTTTTGATATTTTCTTTGTACTTCCTTGCTTGTGATGCAGGCTAGCGCACTCATAACAGATATTTGCCAAAACCTGTGTACGGCTGCAAAGTCAGTGGGAAACAATGACTACACAGTGGTTTTACGTGGTGATTCGACATTAAGAGGACATTTTCCCGACGTAAGGATGAACACTTTATGTTTACTTGTTTTTTTCTACAAAGATATGCAACTTAGAATGTATTGATTTTTTTATCTGTAGTTTTTCATGTTTACCTACCTCTTACAACAACAAGAACAGCATGCCTTTCCCCCTAAATTGGTTTGGTAGACTAGAATATTACTGTTCATCAATAGTTAAGTGGTGAGTAGTGCCACCCAACTTCTCTGAAATATCATTCAATATTTTCCATGTATGATCCTACATTCACCTGAAGATACACATTTTTACCACAGCTGTCCTGTCTACATGTATCTTTTGGTGGTCCGTCATTTAGCCATGTAATTGTAGCTGGTCTGATGCCTACCTATAGAACTTATCACTGAACTTCAAGGGGACTTCCCTATAACATAAGATCCGTGATCCTATGACCAACAACCTGGTTAATCTCTTCATCTTCGTGTAAAATTGTTCTTGAATGATGAAAAATTCACAAACCTACTTTAATAGACGTGCTTACTCTATCCTGACTTAACAACAGTGCTGGAATTGCATCTTTGTCTACCATTTTCTTCCCTTAGAGTCGTCATAGTGTTTCTCCACAGCTCTAACTTTGCCTTCCTTTTTCATAATTAGAATTCAATATATGGGATCAGGATTTAGGATAGAACAACATTGTTTTCAAAGACAAAGCGGATGGTTGTTTAGTCCCAAAGAAAACAAGAATGTCGTTAAGGAACAAACAGCAGTGCAACTATCATATGTTTATCACATTTGACCTCTCTCTTGATATCTCCATATGAATCTTATAGGAACCTGATGCAGCTGTTTCGGTACTAGGGGAGATGGATGCTTGGATTATTTGCCCCTTCTTTTTGCAAGGAGGTCGTTTCACCATCGATGATGTACATTATGTTGCTGATTCCGATCGGTACTACACCTTGAAATCTCTTTAGTTAATCATGCAACAGTATTTCGTCAAAGTGAGACAACTAATACTGTACAAGTCTTGCCCTGTATAGGCTTACTCCTGCAGGAGATACCGAGTTTGCTAAAGATGCTTCATTTGGATATAAATCTTCAAACCTGCGTGAGGTCTAGCTGCTTAACCTTTTCTACTATCCACATGAACAGTCAAACAATTGTGTAATTCTACTACAAGGACAATATTTAACATTTCTAACTGTCTTGGGATACCAGTGGGTTGAGGAGAAAACTGGAGGACGTATACCGGCTAGCAGTGTTTCATCAGTCTCCATTCAATTGTTACGCAATGGTGGACCTAGTGCAGTCTGTGAGCATCTTTGCAGTTTGCAGAAGGTATAGTGCACAAACTTTTATACAATCTACATCTGCCAATTAATTGTTGTAGATAAACAATTGACAACATAATGAATCTTTCAAAATGGTGTTACAACATACTCCCTCCGCCCCAAAACAAATGTCCACTATGAAAGAGTCCCACAGTTAGAGGATTATGTAATTATTACATTTTTTAATCAACAAATTGACAATTTTACCCTTTATTATGGAGAGAAATTTTCTCCATCTCATAACCAAGGGTAGAATGGGAAAGTAGACATTTACTTTTGAAAGTGGACACTGATTTTGGGACAAACTAAAATAGTAATCTAGTCACTTTTTTTGGGACGGCGGGAGTATTACATTTATGAGCCAAATAAACTAATAGCATCAATGTAAAACTTGAATTAGGATAGTTCTAGGGTCAGAAGTTCAACTAAAAGTTGGGAGTCTAATCACGAGACAAGTAATATTTTCTTCTAATTATGTTTTTCTAGGTCTTTAGTACACATAAAGAGTTGACTCGTATATGTGATGATCTGTACTTTGAATACTTGTAAGAAGATTATATGGGATCCTCTATTAATTTCGACATGCTACGTATGGTTTGGTATGTGTACACGTAATGTTCCTCACAGTTTTCTGGTGTGGGGCCAGAGATGATCAATGGGAAGGGTTGATGGGACTGGTGAATGATCATTAGAGCCTGACAAAAATGTGTAGAGTCTTGAACTTATGGAGGGAGAGCCTTTACCACCAAACTATTAACCTCTCTCTCTTCCCATATAGGTCAAACACAATGATTGATTTCTTCCTCCCTGTTTACTAAATTTTTGTTGAATATCGAGCATTCCTTACAGTGTGAACGTTGAGTGTTCATGATGCACTCCCGTGGTTGCTAGTTTATTGGGTTATGATATCAATCATGCATGCTCAGACAGTTAACAACATAAGGACTGAGTTGGGTCTCTTCAGTGACTTGGTTAATCTAAAAACTTTACAGTAATGAACAGGAACATTCTACATCATATATTTATGTAAATATGCAGTCAAGCCTCTAGTTTAAAGATGACTAGAGGTGTTTTGGATGACCTTCAATCAGTGTTATTTACCTGATTAACACAAACTTATTCAGTACGTTTCATACAATATCTTTTTTCGGGAAGTATGTGATACTTATATACAGCAAATACTCACTCACACTCGTCACCTTTGGTGAGGTTTGAACCCATGACCTCCTGGGAGGCTGGGCTCTTCCAGTATTTTAGTAATCATCGAAGTACTGAATGTGATCTTTTTGCTGGTTAAAACAGGGTTCAACATGTATAGTTAACGCAGCTAGTGATAGAGATATGGCTGTTTTTGCAGCTGGTATGATTCAGGTGCATGAAAGTTCATTATGTTCTCCGTTGTGTGATTTCTCGTAGCTTTCTAAAAAAAAATCTGTGGGAAATGCTGAAAAAGTCATCTATTGGTTTGTGTTTCACTGACAGGCAGAATTGAAGGGAAAACGATATTTGTGTCGTACTGCTGCTAGTTTTGTTTCTGCTCGGATTGGAATTACAGCAAAAGCTCCAATCTTGCCTAGTGATCTTGGAATCGGCAAAGGAAGGAGTGGTGGACTTATTGTTGTGGGTTCATATGTCCCAAAAACCACCAAGCAGGTTAAATCTTCAGGGAATTAATGTTCCTTCTCCATGTAAACTTTTAGTTTTCTTCTGACATCTAGTGACATTATCTATTACTATTATCTCTGAGGTTCACAGGTTGAAGAGCTGAAGTTACAATGTGATCATATTCTTAGAAGCATTGAGGTGATTGAGAGGCTACGTTTTTACTTCATATGTAATTACTTCATATGTAATGGACATACTGTAATTTTTATGATAAAAAAATACAGATGTTGCAAATTAGGTTGCAACCTTTTAGTACGGAATAGATACCATGCATGTTTGTGTTATCTTAACACATGTTATGTTTGGTCTTTCATGTTCTTCTATAGGTTTCTGTTGAAAAACTTGCGATGAAGTCACCACAAGAGAGAGAGGAGGAAATCAGTCGTGCAGCTGAGATGGCAGATGTTTACCTCAAGACCTGTAAAGACACTCTAGTGATGTCCAGTCGGGAACTTATTACAGGAAAGAGTGAGTATCTTACGTTTTGTCATCTAGCTCAGACCCAATCAAATTTCAGAGATGTGGATTGATTATTCCTGTTTCCCTATGCCCTTGCCTTTGAAATGTGTTTAGAACCATCACAAATAAGGACAAGTGCTGACTATTCTTCATGAAAATTCAGCTCCTTCTGAGAGTCTGGATATCAACTTCAAGGTGAGCTCTGGGCTGGTGGAAGTAGTTAGAAGGATAAAGACAAGTCCACGCTACATTCTTGCAAAGGTGAAGTTAAACAGTTTAGTTATCTCCATTCTAAAAGTGAATTTTGCTCTAAACTGGTAGCTATAATATTCAGTAGATATTAACTGATATTATCCCATAAACTTGTGGAGATAATGCATCTCTATCATAGGGATACTTGCAAAGATCCTGAATATCGAGTAACTTAAAATATAAATTATCTGAATAGATTCAATTCAACTTGAAGGATTATAAATAGTTTTTGCATAGACAGTGTTATACCATTGGTGAGGATACAGGAAAATGCTCTTTGGATATTTGGAACATGAATTACTCATGCTAATGGACAGTCATAGTTTTTTCAATACTGTCTAGCGAAGTCAGACAACCAAAGATATCTTGTGCGGCTTATGGTTACGCTACCTCTATTAACATGTAGGTGCGGAAGTGGTCATGAGGATCTTGCATATTTCTCAGACTGAATCAGTGAATATGCATCTAACTCTGTTACTCTGCTATGTGTGACCCACTGCATCTAACAAATGAGATCAAATCTATACATGAATCAGTTGTCAAACCTCGTCAGCTTATTTCGTAATTGAACTCCTAGTCCTCTATGCCTGCCAACTTTCAGCAATTTCACAATTGGCCTCCAGTTACTAACTGAACACATTCTGAGTTTCCATTAGTTAATCTTTAGGATGAGGCAGCTTTAATTAAATAGCTAGAAGAATCTGCACTAGATAGTATAGGTATGCAGCATGGGTAATACAGGTTTTGACAATCTGATCAGTAAGCTAGTTCCTGTAGCTTCCCCAAAATGTGCCACAAAACATTATTTCTTATTGCAAAGCCCTGGACAAGTGAGTGGAGCTCACATGTATATCATCTATAAATGGGGTAAATTCCCAAAATTGCACATCAACGGAAAAAAAATTAGGTAGAGTTTATGAGATTGCATGACCAGAAAGAATGCATTATCTTTTTGTGTATGCCATTATCATCTTCATCAAAGTCATCATCATTGTGACATTGTCATGTTAGTCATCATTGTCATCTTATTACAGGAACGCTGAAACATGCATGTCCAGCAGTGATGTTGCATCTGTACTCGGGTAGTACATTGGTTTTAATAGTCATTACTTTGAAGTGGAAATGTGAATCATTATTCTGTCCAGAGCATTGTTACCACCATATTACGATGCGTAATGTCACTTCAGTTACCTGCTATATACACAATGTCACCTCTCTGATTGAGATTTACATAGTAGTTGGTTTTCTACTGTAAAAACGGTTAATCATAATATGAGTGGACCTGTCTTTGGACTTTTAGAACATAATTATGCACCAGAACAAGTGATAGAGGCTGAAACTCTAATACATTGTGCCTTTTATTAACCAGTCTCTCTTTTCATAGGGTGGAATCACCTCATCAGATATTGCTACGAAGGCTTTAGAAGCAAAACGTGCCAAAATAGTTGGACAAGCACTGGCTGGTGTTCCTTTGTGGCAGTTGGGCCCAGAAAGTAGGCATCCAGGAGTTCCCTACATTGTTTTTCCAGGTATGCTTAATTCAAAAGATCCTGATTTGCATTAAGTTTGTTGCAATATTATCTTCGATGCCACACTTCTCAAACATACGGTACTTTAGGAAATGTTGGTGACAGTAACGCCCTGGCCGAAGTGGTAAAATGTTGGGCGCGCCCAGTCAGACTTTCTTCAACTAAGGAGCTGCTTGCTGTAAGGCCATTTACACAAGAACCATAATGTTTTTTGTTTTCTTTTCTTTACCGAGTTGTTGTCCTGATTTGGGTATGTGTTTGTATATTATAATATATAGGAAGCAGAAAGGGGAGGATATGCTGTTGGAGCATTCAATGTGTATAACCTTGAAGGGGTTGAAGCAGTTATTGCTGCAGCAGAAGAGAAAAAGAGTCCTGCTATTTTGCAGGTTTTGGATAGTCTGTCTAGAAGCTTTACATTAACTTCAATTTGTCTAAATTTCAGGGACATTGATTTCTCTAAAGCTGGGCAATACTTCTGATCTGCCTTTACCATTTTCATCATCATATTCATCAATGCCATATGTTGTATATATGACTTTCTTGCACTTTTCTAGTACAAAAGACGTACCTAGTGTCATGGATCAGACTCTTTGAGTTGGGAGACACCAGATAGGTGTCGTTCAGACGAGGGTATGTGCTTAATGGTTCACCGACAAAACATTCTCCAGGAAAAAGTCAAGAACATCATACAAGACACCACAATACTCTAGGGTAGTCTAGTGTTCTTTATAATGAACTATCTCTCTCTTGTATGATTTAGAAGCTTTATGTTGCATGCTAGGACATATTTAGGAGAACTTAGAAAGTTTTTGACGTAGAGACTTGCTTGGAGGAGTGGAGAATCCCATAAAAGGTGGAGGATCCCCTCATATGTCAGAAACCAAACCAAACTAACCCAGCATATCCCACTCGGAAGTAGGGTCTGGGGAGGCTGTGATGTATGCAGTCCTGTCCTCTACTTCAAAGAGTAGAGCGGGTGTTTCCGATAAGACCCACAGCTAGGAAAAAGGTCTGGCTGAAATTTTTTTGACTTGAGAAAATCAAAAAGCTTGCCAAAAAGATTTGGGAAAAGTTTGAAGTGATTGAAACGATGATCTTTGAACAGAAGTAATACTAAATAAAAGTATGCAACATATAGAAATAAGTGAGTATAGTGCAACATAGAAAAGGTACAAGACACTACATAGCTCCTTATCGAACATAGGACACTGGTAACATATCTGACCACTCTCTAACCCTCCCATCCATGCTATCTACAAGCCCCTACACCCTAGCCTGCTATCCTAGTCATGCTACAAGATCTCTTATCAGAGGCCATGTCCTCGGAAATGTATAGGGTCGCCATGTCCATCCTCAGATCCCTCATATGTCAGCACAAACTAATAAAATACAAAGATGTGCTTTCGTTCTTTGTAAGTTATAAGTGTTCTACGTAGCAATATCTAGTGTTCCACTTAGTCTGACGTAGCTCCTGGGCATCCGTTGAGTATTAGATGTGCTAAGAAAAAGATGGGGTTTGATACAACTAGAATTACTATTAAACTTGAGGAAAGAGAAGTACGCAACACAGAAGAAACATAAGGAAAAGAAAGAAACATAAACTAGAACTATATGCAAGACGTAGAAACAAGGAAGATAGGTTACTGGATTTTCGGATTCTTTGGGTCCTTTTTCTTCTCTTTTTGGGACGTATACCATTGGTTTACCGTTTCATGACTTCAAAATAATATGCAAGAACCTCACCAAAAGTGAGGAGGGTGTGTGAGTTTTTTGTTGCATTTTCTATATATAAAAATATTGCAAACTTCAATAAAAATATTTAAGAACTTCATTTCTCAATGCAGCACCCCTAGTTATGCTTGTAACAACTACATTTATGATACTGCAACAAAATGTTGTGTGCATCAAATTAGAGCAGAGTGAACAACTCAAAAGCTGTTAAACTATAAGGATCTGAATTGCCATTTGTTCATAGCAAAATTGAATGAAAGTTCGTTTGGAAATAATATAAACTGTAAACATCATTGCATATTTTTCTATCCTCTTTGTAATAAGTATTTATAACTAAAACTGCAGTGATCATTTTAGCCTTGTAATTCATAAAATACCTTGCAGATAACTATAACCTTGTTTTCCAACAGATCCATCCTAGTGCTTTAAAACAAGGAGGGACACCATTGGTGGCATGCTGCATCTCTGCTGCTGAAGAAGCAACTGTAAGTTTTCTGAACGAAAGTTTTGGAGGGAAATTATTTAATGGAAAAAGAAAAAGATATGACTTTCAACTGTTTAAGAACTAGTGCTTGACAGAGCTTTAGCCTTGTTTAAATTAGCAATTACATAACTGACTTTGTTCCCAGACCCGCATAATGTTAATACATGCTGTCATGGTCTTCAGAAAGGATGGATCACAAATTTTTGCTGGTTGGTAATCCGCCGATCCTCTTTTCTAGTAAGGAGCCCTTGTAGAAAAGTGGAAGGGATGGTTGGAAATTGAAATTTGGTGGCTTGTGTGTCGTGCACTGTAAGCCTGAATTATGAAACCATCTGAAACTGAAAGGACACACAGGGAGCAGACTCAGAGTGATGGCTGGAATGAAGATTATTCAAACAAAACTGAAGTACATGTGATTCGTTTAAATAGTCTTGCTTGGTGTTAGGCATTAGATACATTCTCAGTGGATTCTGAATATCTTGAGATACATGATGTTGCTTTTATTCCTGTCCAAGCCTGTCCTGGTATTTTAGTATTGCTGTGTTACTTTGTGAGTTCTGGCAATTTGACTCAAAAAAGAAGCATCACTTTGATGAAAAATTATTGTTCATCTATTTGCCACTTTGCGTAGGTCGATAAAAATTTGGAACATCCTACAGTTATTTGCCTATTATGTTTTTCTACCTTTTTCTGTTTTTACTTCTTACCTTTATCGAACTGCTATAATGTGTTTATCAGTGCTTATTCCTTTTTGTAGTTCAAGACCTCATCTTTTAACACCTTGCGTGTGATTTTGGTTTATTCTTTTATTATTTTTCCGGTTCTCTTTTTTTCCTGATGATTCATCTTATTCTCATTTATCATTGCATCAAACCATCATAATGACAAGTCCAATTCCTAACATCTTTACCAAAATGCATACAGCTACTTATATCTCAAGCTTATTCTTTACATTTTACATAAATCCCATGCAAAGGTGTTCTGAGCATTTTAACAGTATAGATGGCAATTCCTTTTATTTCCAAGGGACTGTTTTGTTGTTTTTGTCTGTATGGATTAAGCTAAATTGCTGTTTGTTTGTTGGACTGAATAAACTGTCTGAATGAGGGATGATCATTTTACCCTTTAATTTTTTTTATGATAACTCATGTCTTTGTTACTGTTAATTACCACCATCTCACAGGAAGTCCTTACACCTTTAACATCCTCAAATGGATTTGTAGATGAATACTGAAGGTAAATAAGGTATAAAGGAACATATGATGCGTTCATATCACTGAGTTGAAGAATTATAATGGTAGCCAAATAAGCTTTTAACAAACGAAGTATATGCAAAACACATTGGTCCAGTCAACTGTACCAACATATACGATCTCCAATGTTGTAAAACAAATAAAAAAAAACATCGAATAAGCCGATTAAACAAAAAACAATCAGCCCCTAAGAGATAAAGGAGGCTACATGGTTATTAATAAATCTTATCATATATATTCTGCAGGTGCCTATTACTGTGCATTTTGATCATGGTAGTTCCAAGCAAGAACTAATGGAAGTTCTTGAGTTGGTAAGTTCAGCTGTTTAAATTTACTTCCCGGTAGTGGCAAATTCTTTCTCCAGTTCTGTATACTACAGTTATTACATTTGTCAGCATTAAGAATCATCTTCTCAAGGGCTTTATGTTTATTATTGAATTTCTGAATCCATACGCAGGGAGTTGACTCGGTCATGGTAGACGGTTCACACCTACCCTTCAGGGAGAATATCTCATACACAAAATATGTTTCGTCTTTGGCACATGCAAAGGGTATGACGGTGGAAGCTGAGTTAGGCAGATTATCTGGAACAGAAGATGATTTGACTGTAGAAGACTATGAGGCAAAGTTGACTGATGTAGATCAGGTACTTCTGTCCTTAAATTTGCTTTATGGGGGAATGATCTCAGATAGGAGTTCTTGGAGGCTGCGGGTTAGAGGGTACTGTGGGTTTGGGAGGGAGGGGGGTAGGGTATCTTTTTATAGTAATAGGAAGCTTCTTTGGTGTCTGTGTACTTTGTAGCTAGGTGAACTCTTTGCTTTCATCTATGATTGTGTCCCCCAATTTTTTTTGGCAAATCTATAGCTTATAGATGTGTTTGGAAGTTTTTATTGTATTTACTTTAACCGTTTTTCAAGCTGGAGATCTTCTTGGAAACAAGCTCACTGTCTTTTGAGACAGAGGTAAGGTCCACATTCAACATACTCATCCTGGACCCTACCTCTGGGTGGGATATACTGAGTTAGTTAGGTTTACTATAATATGAACTCGTGGTATGATCTTTATTCTTGCTCCATATGAATTGCAGGCTCAAGAATTCATTGATGAGACTGGTATTGATGCCCTGGCAGTGTGTATCGGTAATGTTCATGGGAAGTACCCTGCAAGTGGGCCAGAGCTTCGGCTTGAGTTGCTTAAGGTAGAGTTTCAATTATATTTACATTGAATCTGTGTTGAGAAATCGTATCTGTTTTTTCTCAAGTATAATCAACTACATTTAATTTGCTTATCAAATAACTTTTATATTTGCAACCAGAACCTCTATAACTTGGCTTCAAAGAGTGGAGTCTTTCTCGTTCTTCATGGAGCCTCCGGATTGCCTAAAGAACTTGTCCAGGTACTTATCATTATTAGAGTACTCCCTCCAACGATAAAATGGTACAGCAGTTCTCATTTCCAGATTTACCATATTATCTTTCGGTCTAATTTTCCAGCTAAACATGCCTGTTTGACCATTGTCATAATTACAAAATATTAGCGACATTCATTTTCTGCAAAAGGGTTTGTAACCAGCAACCCATGAGTCTGTCCCTCCCCAAGAGCATAGTCTAAATGTAAATGGTAAATTAGGTACACAGCAGCCCGCTAGGTGGCAGGCTTAGGAGCCCAATCCCCAAAGGAGTTGTAACTTCCAAACTGCGGCTGGCAAACTCGAACCCAGGGGGCGGATCCACCTAGTAGAGGGTTGTGTTAACCGACCCCAGTCAACCCTTTAATCATATTTTTACTTTCCGAAATTATTTTATCCCACAGCTCCCGACCCCACTAGAAACTTTAAAATTTGATAAATTTTTGAACTTCCAATGCTTTTTCTTTACTTGCCAAATGTTACGAATGAATATTTTGATAAATCACTTTAAAAAGATGAAAACTTGTAGACAACATTTGTAGATTGTAAGTTGTTTTCTTATTTCTATACCTTTTGAATTAAACTTGTATTATATCTTTATATTATGTTAATCAAAGTCCAACCCCAGTGCCCAAAATTCCTGTATCCACCGGTGCTCAAACCCTCATCTACCCTCGTCTGCAATTACGCCATAAGGGGGATTTAAATAGTTAACTACTAGTTAGACATTTCCATTAAATTATGTGTCAAATCAAACGTGCTTAAACCTATATCATAATACGGTACTTTTCTTCATGATTACAGAAATGCATAGAGCTTGGAGTTAGGAAGTTCAACGTAAACACGGAAGTACGGAAGGCGTACATGGACAGCCTGAAAACCCCTCAGACAGACCTTGTCGGTGTCATAGCGGCTGCTAAGATAGCCATGAAAGCTGTGGTTGCAGAGAAGTTGGATTTATTTGGTTCAACAGGAAAAGCAAGCTAACCATCTTCATGCATTTACAACTATTTGTTCTCCTTGTACACTGTAATAGGATATATTGGGTACGTTTGGTACGTCATAACTTCTTTGTTCCGATTCAGTAATCTTATGGTAGATTGGTTGTATTTGGGACTTTTGTACCATTGATTTGATGTACAACATTATTTGTTTTCCATATTTTCTTCTCTTTTAAATTACCATTGAAGGTTTGTACTAATTTTTTTTGCAATTAATAATAATATACTTCTGATGGGAAAGATTCAAATAAGAAAGACAAAAAGATTGATAACGTATGAATAAATGATTCATACGTGAATCATTGGTAAACTCGAAAAAAATCTATTTCAACAATGCATATGTATACTTACTTTTTCTTCTACCATTAATTCACATATGAATTATTTATCTCCACTTTTTTTTACCTTTCTTATTTGAACCTTTTTGTACTTTTTTTTTCCCCACTTTTGGATGATTCCCGTTTACACAAAAATAACTAGGAAACCTGCTATTCGATAATTGGGATGCAGTTTCATTATTGTGGTTTCCAAGCAACAATGGTGTTTTCTCTCATCTTTTCTAGGTTCGAATCCAAACTTTGTCAAATCCCTTACAGTCATGGAGGTTCACATGTGATGACTCCAGACCCTTTATTATTGCCCAAATGATTAGTCGGTGCATGTAAACTTTTGAGAAACCCATGAATACCAAAAAAAAAAAAACAATGGTGTTTTTCTGATGCAATAAAATAGGTTGAAGATTCAAGTGCTTCCCTAATTATTTTCAAATTTCTTTTAAAGTTACATAACAACTTTTAGTTTCAATCTTTTTTGTTACCATGTTACACATATAAGTATCCAAGCTATAAATCAACTAAACAAGTAATAAGTAAAAACAAAATATAAAAGTTCATACTGTATATAATATCAGAGTATCAAAAATGTCTTAAAATGATAAAAGTAACATATAGAATTCATTTATTTATTTGCAAGTTGAGAATCAAGAATCTCTGAGTTGATGAAAAGATTAAAATCCTAAAACGCTACAAAAACATATATACAATGATTGAGTTGAAAAAATAGAGTTGATAATATGGCAAATCGCTTCATTACTTTATGAGCCCTTTAATTACATTTTTTAATTATAATAAATTAATATTTTAATTCATATTTGAAAAAAGGTTTATGAAGATGTAAATAAATTAATATTTTAATTCGAGAAAGATTTATCAAAGTATGAAATAGATTTTATTATCGTAATCATTTTCGTTTTTAAAAAAATATCGCTTTTATTTATTATAGTTTTTAATTATTTTTTATTTTTTATTATTATGACTTTAATTATTGTAATTTTTAATTATATTCTTAAATTTTTTTAGGGGGTGCTAATGGCACCCCTTTAGAGAGGGTGTTGATTGTTTTAAATTTTGTGTCAATCATTTTTTTATCATAAACATCAACTCAATTAATTATATATTTATATTTTATTAATTTTGTTTTATTTTATATATTTATATTTAAAATATATATTATTTTATTATTTCATGTTATATTATTATTTTATATTTTTGATTTTATATATTACAGTTTACTAGAAGCGTACTCGCGCAATGCAGCGTGATACATCATGTTTTTAGTATTTCATTTTATTCTTTATCTCAGTCGATGTTATAATATAGCTTTATGTGATTTTGAAAAAGCGATAATGTTTTTGTTTTTGAATAAAATATATGTTTGACGATATCATAAAAATTTGACAAAAATATATCGATATTAGTATCAAATTAACCATTTGAAATTCCTCATTTTTTGNTTATATATATATATATATATTATTAGATTTTTATATTTATTTTATTATATTTATTTATTTACATATTATTTTATATATTATTACCTTATTTTGCATCTTTTTTGTATTCCTTTACTTTATTTTCATTTTTAATCTTAAAAATTCTTCTTTTGATATGTAATTTCATTTTAAATCAAACATTTTTTAAAATGTGGTTACTGATAATGCACACAAACCACTCTTTCCAAGCTATATAGTGGTTACTGATAATCCACACAGAAACAGTAAAGTTGGTACTTTTTTTTTGGACTTGAAGGGAAGCATGCATATATCATATATACACATTAGGATTGACGATTAACTACCAAATGGTTATTATCTCAATTTTTTATGTTGGTACGTTTGTGAGATTTACGTTTTTGAGTATATGTATATATATATATACATATATATATATATATATAATATTATGAGCTGTAAACACTTTATTTTTTTAACGTGAATGTAAAATATTTTATTTATTATTAATGGCACCCCTTTAGTAAGGGTGTGACTTTTTTTGAAATTTGTACCCTTTTAACTTTTTTCATTAACATCACATCAATAATTATTTTATTAATTTTATTTTATATATTTATATTTAAAAAATATATATTATTTTATATTTTTCTATTATATTAATTTATTATATATTATTTACAAATTACTTCATATATAAATATATATATACATATATATATATATATATATATGGGTTGATATTCCCCTCCCCTAACGATCTTTTCCTCACTCACACTTTCAAATTCAGCAAATTTTTTAAAATTTTAATTTTAAATTTACACTTTATACCCCTGTAATTAGTTAATTAATTTACTTTACAACCTTTGGTTTTAAATATTTCATTTTACA